TTTATTATATGGCTATGTCTCACAAGGACTGGGAACTACCGAATTCACGAATTTGATTGGCTGAAATCAATATTGAAAGCGGTCTAGATTTTCCCATCTAGACCGGCATCTAGACCGGTCTAGAAAAAAAAGGTGCAAAGAATATAAAAAATTGGCATATAAGACACAGCCACATAATAAAAATACAGGTCAATACTTAGTTCTTATTAACCGAGCTAGGTCGGTCTGTATGAAAGAATCTTGATCTCGGTCGCTGGTACAGACCTCACTGCGTTCGGTCTGTACTGGCGACCTCGGTCAAGGTTCTCCCATACAGACCTCCCGCTCGGTTAATAAGAAGTAAGTATTAACCCGTATGTATTATGTTAAGGCATGTTAGAGTTAAATAAACAGCATAAAGTTTCTGCTCTATGCGGTAGTCAGATGTGGTTGCTTATCAAACAACGAGACTCGCTGGAAACAGAATAATCAAGTCATTTCTACTAAATGTCTTAAGTGACAACAATACATTCTACAAAAGAAAGACTGCACAGATTAATGTCTTAGATATGTAACTGATAATTAATATGCATGTCCAGCATTAGCTAATGAAGAAATATGTCGTCAAGGCGAATATTCGTCCCTCAAAAAAAAATATATATTGATTAAACTGTTTTCGTGATACGTGAACAAAAAAAACGCAGATGGAGTAGTAGTTAGGTAAAGAAACGGTCCCAAAACTTAAACAGCTATACATGTATCATTAATTTTGTAGAGACACACATACTCTCATGTGCAAGCTTGCCTGCACGCATGCACACATACATAGATACACGATGTCTTTGACATTGCAGGTTAGGCAACCAATTATGACTTATCTGGACCCGGTTAGTGACCAAGGAAAATAAAGCGGATAGTTGAATAAATGAATGGATAAATAAGGAAGAAAATTATAAAAAAAAAACCATATAATCAAATCCGAACTATATACATGAATCAATGGTTGCGCTCCTTTTGGTGATCCACTTTCTCCTTATTTACTGGGGCAGGAATTGATGCACACCTTACTACCTTAGTTATTTGCATGATCAACGCAAATAAATAGGATGTTTTACAATGGTGTAATCAAATACGAGGCGGATCTGAGTGTTGGGACAGGCGAACTGTCTGGTGGAAGTATTTTCTTAACTTTACACCTTGTCGTAGTGCATCTCAAGGGTTTGCTGAAGCGTGAGAGCTTTATGGCATACACCACAGGACTCACAAGAGAGCAGAAAGTCTTAAAAAATCTCATTGAAAGAACTGCATTGCATGGGAAATCCAAATTAAAGTACGACATTCCTTCCAAAATTTCCACCGGCAACCACATCGCAAAGTAGATAATAGCGCAAAGTGTAAACGCCCTCGAAAGCTCAAAGTTTTGTTTTTGCAACCTCCATACGGTAGCATTTCGTTTAAACGAAGGTTGCTGCCATATCAGAATGTAATTAGTGCCAATAATTGTCAAGTTAATAATCTCAACAAACCATACCGCCACTTTAGCGACAAGAACACTGTAGAAACCAGCCAGGGAAAATGCAGAGGTCATGCTCACTGCCATCGACAAAATCCAAATTAAAATATTAGCCGTCATGTAGCATCTGACACGAGTGAAAATATGAGTTAGAGGCCAGAAGGTCCTGTAATACATGTCTAAGGAGATTGCAGCCAAGAAAGAGGTCGAGAAAACGTCGCAGAGCGTTTGCAAAGAGAGGTGCAGTTCTTCCTGGTTCAAACTGCAATGATGCCCATCTGATTGCAGCAAACCAAGGAAAATCGTTATAGCAGCCAAGCCTCTAAGAATGTCTGTGAATGACAGGCTGATTGCAAAGTATCTGACAAGATTAAAACGACCTCTCAAAAACAAAACAGTAGCATAAAGATTCCCTAGAAGTATCAAAGAGGCCTCTGTTACGAAAACCACACACCACGCAGTAAGCACTTTGAAACCAAATGAATATGGTTCTTTCACGGATAGGCTCGACGAACTGGTCTCGATTGAAAAGTTCATGCTGTGAAAGTGAACAAAAGAACGAACGAAATATGAAGAGATTTAAAATAAAAGATTCACATCAATTTGGGAGGAGGATAGAATGAAAAATGAAAGTAAGATGGGTTCTATCAATCCTTAGATTTTGAGTGAAAACGAGAAGAGAGTGATCTCTAGAAATTCAAATAGATGTTTAAGGTAGAAACCTCTTCCTGCTGGGCAGGGAAACTTAGTGAATATTCTATATTATTCGGCCGATCTTCGACGTCTCGGATTAAAATCAGTATTGGGATCTGCCTTGGAAGGCAGGGGAAAAAAAAAGTACTTCGACAAGTTTATTTTAATGGCAGAGAATAAACGAACTTCAACACAATGTTTCCAGTTTAAGCAACTGGGGTACTGGTCATCCTCATGAATTCCAACTATTTTATTATTTATGACTCTGTTCATCAACCCTTTCAGCATATTTTGTTTTTCTTGAGACATACTATTAGTCAATCACCACTTTCATATTCAACATTTCTCATTTGGAATTACTCATCATATCCTGTTTTTCCGTTCTAGAATATCAACTTCCTTTACGAGACCTATTTTTAAAAAAAGATTGTCACAATTTGAGAGGAAAAAATTCTGCGGCATTGCAGTGAGTGATTAACTTGTTCAGCGTAATTAAACAAATAGAAATTGCGCTACAAGAAACTTACCTTTAACAATTCTTCTTTTTTAGCACCTTAGCCTTCAGAGTTTAAATGATGGGGAAAGTTTAAATTCCATCTTGAAATTCTAATATATTCCCATGCATGTCAAAGTGCCTCAAGGCTAAAGGATGCTACAAATAGATTTATTATTATAAAAAAGCAGCATGTAAATTCTGGGCCAATTATAACCCACATTTTATTGGTGGAAGTTTTGTTTATTTTTCCTTAATTTATTGCTCGAATAAAGATGATTTTGTTCAAAGCTTGCTTTTATTAAGGCCCACATCTGGTCTCCCGGTTGGTGACGAGAACCCCTCGCAGATGCCTAAAAAAGAGAAAAATAAATAGAAATAATGTCTAGATAAAAAATGAACGGGTCCAACGTCTTCCAAGATTATATATTGTTCCAGTCTCCAGTAGCATAATAGTAATAGTAATATAGTTTATTGTAATATAGTTTATATCTGACCACTTGCAGCCCAGAGGCTGAGTTACGGGTGCAGTGTAAGGTTGAGAACAGACGTCAGCATATCGGGCGCCTCTGGCAGCCGCTTCAGTCTATCGATCTCACCTTCCCACCCATCCCACCCCAGGGGAGGACATCCATCACACAGTAATCTCGTGTGTGGGAAATTAACGTCTCCTACCCCAACCCTGCAGGAGACGGGACCTCCATTTATTCGTCCCTATCCGAGAAGACTAGAGTATCTAACCATTTCTTGATGTTATAGAAAGGTAGCAAATTCTTCTCAATTATTTTAAGACCTTGAGTGTTGGTCCGGCCGGGGCTCGAACCCTCGACCTCCCGCACAACAGTCCAGCGCTCTATCCATTGAGCTAACCGGGAGGCGGTTTAGACTGCAAACTGCAAACACCCTGAAGATACTTATTTCATAAGTTTATTTATATCAATTCTTCCTGTGGTCCTTTTAATTTGTTCCATCATATGAAAATAATTTTTTGAAAATATGCGATCGAGTGTGATAAGGATTTTAAAAAAAATAACAAGTTAAAATAGTTTTCTAACTCTAAACTGGTCGCTCTTGCTCGATAACTGTTTGTCTCCTGACGTTTGTTTTCAGAATTTTCTTTAGATTTAATTTTTAATTTTGAGAAGCACATCCCCTTGGGCTATTTCCTGCTGGTTGTCATTATAAACGACTCAAGCAACCAATCACGTTTTATTAGGGTGTTTTTTTTAGAAATTTAATCATATCGGAATAATAATGAACATTTCTCCACCACTTGAGCTCGGAAATTGAAAAAGGAACAATTTGAAGGGAAATAGTAGAAGCATTATCATGCATTATCCACTGAGCGTTTTTTCTTTGGGATGGCTGCTAAAAGCTAGCATCTTTCAAACGTAAATTTAGCCTCCTAAAGAGGGAGATAAATTTTAGAGAAAGGACAACTTTACATGAAAAATGTGCAGCTCTATCAAAGTATTATCATGGACCGTTCTCTTTGCAGTAGAAACTTTAGTTATTATCGCAGGAAATATCATCACTACCATTGTATTCTTGAAAACGAGATCTGTTTTGAAGGAAGACATTTTTACCTGCCGATACTGAAACCTCTCTATAGCCGATTTGATAGTTGGGAATTCGTCCGTGAAAATAACCATCAGCAACATTTGGAATCTTAAAATACCGCAAATTTATTTCTTGAAAAAATTTTTAGCCTTTGATGTTCTCGCTGAGAGTGCCTCTAGGTACATTGATGTTCATCACGTTTGAAAGATTTTACGCAGTAACGCATCCTTTGAACCACAGAACCTTAAGCAAACAGGTTTATGTGCATGGTGTTGTTTGGCCGTGGGCTGGTGGTGTGTTAGTCGCACTGATCAGCTTTTCTCCAATGCTCTTCCCCGATTCAGTATTTCCCCCTCGTTGCCCTTGGATTTTGACATCTTTGGCCCGGCGTGATCGGTGTGTTTTCCGTTAGCATTTTGTACACTTTGATCTGGATTTCCTCAAGAAATCACGATCCTCGAATAGCGTGCGACAGGCTCGAGCAGGACAAGAGACTTGTTAAAACCCTTTTCATCGTGACACTGACGACTGTTGTAACCTGGGTTCCATTTGTTGTGACGCCCGTTCCACTACAAGACTTCCATGACATTTGCAACATGCGCATCAGGGCTTTCTTGGCTGGAAGGTTTTTCCAGTTGGAAAATTCATTTCTCAATCCAGTTGTTTATCGTTTTCTCATGCCAGAATTCATGACAATACCTAGAAGGCTGTTCAGTTGTAGCAGGAGTAGGGTGATTTCAAATTGAGTATTAGTTAGAACTGCTGCTATTTGTCTAAAAAAGCCTTATTTGACTTTTTCTTTGCTTAACAATTGGTTCATGCTTTAGCGTGCACTATCGAGTTATGGAGCACGCGGGAAGTTTGGAGAGCACGAAAGAAGCGTAAGAGTTGCCCGAGGCGATAGCCGAGGGCAATTCTAGCTTCTTCAGTGCTCTCCAAACTTCCCACGTGCTCCATAACTCGATAGTGCACAGCTGAAAGCATGAACCAATTGTTTTAGAACATAGCCGGTGGAATTGTGCATCAAATGCGACACGAAAAACGGACAACAATATCAGTTGAAGCGAATCGTGACGGCGCTGATGCCGAGTCTCCTTTTCCTTTGTTTTTCTCTTTTTGTGCCTCATTTAAGAACTCTAGCCCAAGGGAAAAGGTCGAAACATTGTCTTCGTTTTCGGACTAGCAGGCCGAGTTTCTGTTTGTATCCATTATTGTCGCGAAATGTATTGTTTTTCCCCGCACTAGCAATGGCCGCTCGCGCGAAAAAAAAATTTCTGGCGAAGTCGGATTTGCTGACGCTATCAGCGTGCACTATCGGGATTTTGAGCACGCTTACGTATAATGAATTTGACTGCGCGACTCTGCTAGCTATATTCTAAAAAGTACTTATATATAATTCTGTCTTAGATAGTTTTTATCTTTTCGCATATGATAGCTTTTATATTTAGATTCTGGTTCTGGAACAATTATCTATTGCTTTCTCATTATTCAAGGCTACGTGTTGCGAAGCTGGTAAACTTGGCTGTGCTGGAAAGTGTGCAGAGCAGCATCGTTTGAGATCACTTCCCACCTTCGCGGGTGTCCTTTGCGGAAAAATTCATACGCGTGCCAGTTTCACTAAAATCCCAGCAGACTATACATCTGTAAGAAAGCTTGATAAATGCCGGCATTTTTCGGTAGCATAGTTTGCCAAAGGATTCCAACTCCCAATTCCAAGATTCATACCAAGTCATTTTTAAGTTTTAGAATCCCCGAGTTTTGCACCAGGAAACATTTATTGCGGCCTTTCTATCAAACTGATTTCAGTGCGGTCACACGCTGGTCGTGGCTGTTATGGCAAATGATCGACAAGTCTATCACGGTTTTGTTCATTAAGTAGATTTTGTCCAGTTTTCACCAAAGAAAATTTTGTCAGCGGTACGCTTCAAGATTTGTCTGCTTTGGCCAAACCTTGTCAAGTCGCGACAAACCACCCGCGCTTGTAAACTGTTGGTGAGGACAGAAAATTTTTCTAAATCAACAACGCTCTCTCTGGTGCTGAAGGCTTCCTCTCGGACGCTTTTGGAGATTTAAAAATCCCTTTTTTTCAGAAAACGTTGGGGAAAATTTTTTACTTCAATTTAGTCAAATAAGAGAAAAAATAATTTTTTCTGCTTCTGAAGGTGGAAAGTAACCTTAAAGAAAAAAGGTAATTAGATTCACCGTCAATAGCTGATAGCTGCCTTTTTCTACCTATGACTTCTTACATTCATGTTTTGTCATTTAATCTTGAAGACGGCTGTTATCGTCGAAGTTTCTCGGTTTTTTTTAATTAAGACAAACCTTGCCTGAAGCTTCCGCAAAACAAATAATGGTAGACTTTTATTGTTAAAAAGTTATTATTTAGTGTCTGTGATGCACAATTCTTCGATATGTTATCATAGCTTACAATGAACCTGTCAAGTTTGATTTTTTTAGGTCGAAAAAAATCTCGGCTTTCTAAATAAGTGTCACTCAAAAATAAGTACTCTTCGTTTTCATGAAGCGAGTAGTTATAATTTATAAAGCGGGTAGTTTCAATTAATAAAGCAATACACGAATCCCGTATACTGGCTTTTGCACCTTGTAATGTTTCAATGCATCTGATGAATGTACAATCAATATGATCACGAATAACGATAGGGACTCAGTACAGATAGAGCGGACTTAATTTTCTTCACATGATTTCCATTGAAACTATATTAATTAGATACAGAAGAAAGTTTAAATAAACTAACTTTTCGTTTCGTCAAAATAAAGAGTAGCTGTTGATCTTTCAACGTCCTTCCCTTGAAAAAACTCGCTAAGACTATTTTTTGAAATGTAAACGATATTTTCTTTTGATCGAAAACTTTACTTGCACCATCAACTTTGTTCTTTACTAGACTGCTCTTTTTACATGTGATAGGGTATTCCATAGATGTGCAAAACCGTTGAAAAATTATTGTAATCTGCAAACTCACAGGAAGTCTTGGTTATGCACCAGAAAAGAACAACAATTTTTGGAAAGAAAGACTTCTAGCTTAAAATGTGCAATTCTACCGAGTTCTTTGCGTGGACAGCTCTCCTCGCAACGGTAACCGTTGCTATCATCGGAGGAAATATCATCACCACTATTGTATTATGGAAATTGAGATCCGTTCTGAAAAGAACCTATTACCTTTTGATAAACCTTACGATCGCCGATTTGGTTGTTGGTTTTGGAGGGGTCGTACTCATAAGTACGAGCATTTTGAAGCATAACGGCTTAGATGAAAGTCCATTGTTCGTAACTACTAGGTTCCTGCGAATGGATGTTTTCGCTAATAATGCGTCTTTGACGTCTTTGTTACTTATCGCCGGAGAGAGATTTTTGGCAGTTGCTTTCCCTTTTCTTCACAAGGTAATCACAACACGTTTCTACGCGAAGTGCATCGCTGGGGTGTGGATTACTTCTCTCCTTCTGAACGGGATTGTGTTGTCTTCAGATGTTTTTCCTACTTCGTTTCGCCGCACCATTTCCCGAGGAATTCTCGGTTACTTTACGATCGTCTGCTTGATTGCCATTAGCGCTTTCTACATAACTATATGGGTGGTCTCTAGAAAGGTGGATGTTCGAATACCTCGAGATAAACGAGATCAGAACAAGAGACTTGCTAAAACCTTGGCAATTGTGACAATTGCATCGCTCATTGCCTGGATCCCCCTTTCAGTACACACCGTTTCTCCTTTCTCTAAGCTAGATGAAAATTGCATCTTATCCGGATCTCGTGTCATTACATATTTCCTACAACTGACCAATTCTGTTATCAATCCACTAGTGTATTGTTTTCGCATGTCTGAATTTCGAGCAGTTCTTAAACAACACTTTCCAACTTGCAGAAACGCCAACGGTAGAATTCGATCGGTTGGAGCTACGAATTTACCAAAACCCTAACTCGAGAAATATGACTTAACATGATCAGTTTGGTCGAAAATACAAACAAAACTTTGAGGAACATAAATTTACTTAACTTCTAACTCGAGTAATGCAACTCAAAGGATTGTAATAATATTTTATAACTGCCATCACAAAAATCATGATCCTTTCTATTTATAAATGTTACGCAATCATGCATCCATCGGAGAGCGGATGATTTTTGTTCATATCAAATCTGGTCTCGCGTACATCATAAAATTATTGATTTATCAATGTAAAGCCACCAGAAACCTAAAGAAATGTCCTTGATTGGTCAGTCTGGCTATGACTTTATAGTTCCGTTCATCCATGTGCAATCATGAGCAGTATTTTTGCCTATTTTGTAATTTTTTTTCTTAGAAATTTTCAGGTTAACAAAAATCATCAAACATCCTAAGATGATCAGTTGTGGTAATGGCTCATCTTGGATCAAGAGCTTTTGTAGTTAATTACAATCATCGTAAGCTAACTCAGATTAATTATTTACCAATAGAATGTTATCTCGTAAATATGAAACTGAGAATTACATTTTGTTTACAAGCAGTGGCTTGCAATAGAGAACCGATATTAAGACGTGTTTCTACACTACCATGGATATTAACATTAACCGTGGAAGCATTTGCTGTCATTCTTGGAAACGCAACAATACTTCCATATTTTTCCTGGTCCTTATCTCATTAGAAAGACTCCACGTAATAGTGTGGCCATTTCGCAACAGATCCATGTCAAAACAAACGTATACGTATGCTATCGGAGTTGTGTGGCTTTTATCAGGAATGGTGCCAATTTTTAAGTTACTGCGGTTGCCGCAAGAAGTACTGAACCTATATACGAAAGTCTTTCTATATATTTGCCTAACAACAATCGTGTATGCTTATTGTGTTATCTGGTTCTTTGTCATGAAGAATGACCCAAGACTACCACAAAATAGCCACAAACGAAACCAAGATTTGACCAAAACTCTAACCACTGTAACTTTGTTATCACTAACAACTTGGCTACCGTTAGCTGTAATCCTGAACTTTAAGTTTACAGTCACTCCTGAAAGATTCAATGTTCTTAAACTAGCGACTAGATCTCTAACAGTAGCAAACTCCTTTATCAACTCAGTCATATACTGTTTTAAGATATTGATGTTTAAAAAACTTTAAAGGAATTGCTTTTCATCAGGAAATCAACCGGATCCAATAGTCATGAAAGCGAAGCTTGCCAGGAGGCAAATACAGTAGTGTTAGTCACATTCTTCTATTCCAATGCGGCCCATAACAATATGACTATTGATGGAAGCAATCAGATAGAATGAGATTAGGTGCTGAGAAGATAAGCTATGGTAACCACTCTACATGTTTTTCATAGATCAGTCTATTTGACTGATATCTTGCAATCAGATAGAATGAGATTAGGTGCTGAGAAGATAAGCTATGGTAACCACTCTACGTGTTTTTCATAGATCAGTCTATTTGACTGATATCTTGACGACCGGAGCTTGACCATTGCCTTTTGCGTTTAAAGGGATTTGAAAGGACACAATGCGAGGAGACTTGAAGTTTTCAATTGCGCCTGTGTCCTCATAGGAGTTGTAGTCTGTAGAGAATATTTAAGGTTTTCATGGATCATGTGACTCTTTTCGTTGCTCTAATTAAACTGTCCTTCATTCAGTGATTAAGATAGAAGATTTACCGCACAACACTCGCGATTACTTCATTTTCCTTCACTTAGGAAAGTGGATTTACAACACGATTGAGTACATAGAATAAATGTCCTTGCAGAAGTAACGCTATGTAACGCAACACACTAAACGCAACAATAGGCTTTTTCGCTCCACAAAAGGGTCTCAAGCACTAAAATCTGCCGATTTCTGCTGCTTTTACCGCCATATTGAAAATAACGCTACCATAATGCAATGCAATCGGAGTGCGCACACCGCCTGCTCACCGAGATATAAAATCGAGATATATACTTCCCTGTGACTCACAACACCAAACTAAATGAGCCACAGATAAGTTATCGAAATTACATAAATAAAAACTTAATTTATTGCGGCGCAATCAAAAATAACTACACAGTGCAGGTCACCTGATGCCGTGCAGGCTATATTCAGTCTAGAAAATTCTTTTACTTCCTTGTAACAATAGAGCCACCGCGCCGCCTTTGATTTATAAAGGCCCCTGTTAATGATGTTATCAATGCTAATTTACAAGGTGCGTGGCATGAAAAAGTTACTTGACGATTGTAGAATTTGTTTCAAATGAATGAGCGATCCGTGGCCTGTTCCAGAAGATTGGAAAGTGACTGTGCTATAAAAACAAAAGAATGAAACTGCAACAAGTAATTGCTGACGGTCGAGACACGTCATTCATATCTGTAATATTACATAGCGTTCCCTGAGTGTTTTCTTTAATTTTCCCAGTGGAAAACCCTTCAGGATTTTTCTTAAATCCTCATCACAAGAATGTTTCCCTTTTACAGTAATTCAGCACAGCAAATTCCTTGGATAAACAAGCATAAGTGCATTTTAATGATGTAATGCTCGACCGAATATTATTTTGATATTAATTTTCTGACGCAGTGTTTTTGGTTTCGAATCATTTGACCGTCACGTTCGAGAACTCTGAAGGAAAGTTGTAGAACTTTTGATTTGTTAAAAACAATTCAAACGCGTTGACGCAGATGTAAATGCTACCAAGTTACTTAGGAAACCAATCTGAAAGGTAAAAAATTCAGCTTTCAGACCTTTAAAAAATTCAGACCTTTAAGGTCGGCACACACGATGGGACTAGTCCCTGCGACTAGTCCCAGCGACCAGTTTCATGCGACTAGTCC